GACGATGTTGAAATTAATTTAAATTCCACGTCTCATACTAAAATATGAATTTCACACCAACCCATTGGATCATTGTGAAGCTTAATTGGTTAGGTATGTTGAGTATTATAATTCAAATGTATGATTTGTATTTATAGTTTGTATATATAGTAAGTGTTTCGTTTGTACATATAATTTGAAAGTTTAATCTGCATATGTATTGTATTATCTGATGGTATCCTTTATGGAAATATCATCTGTGTACCTTAGTCTATAAGTATTACATGTTTGTATCATTTGTCAATGTACTTTATAAATATATGTTTGTATTATTATTCATTAATAAGAGGGATGAGTAATCATATATAATACACAAGTGTGAGAGTAAAATTTATCTCAACTCAATTTTCATTCTCTGATTTTTGTTATGAGTGTGTGCATTTCTATGCATATCATTTCTAACAAATTAGTATTAAGAGTTTGTTGATTATGAGGACCTATGAGTGGTGTGTGTGAAATCCACTAGGTTGAAAAGTATTATGTTGTGAGGGAAACTCTTTCTTATGTAAGTTTTTATTATCCATGTGTGGATACTTCTTTCTTGTATGGTGTTGGAAGAGTGAATCGTGATTGGTTCTTATGGGCTTTCCTTGCCAACTTACCTATTTTTTATGGCAAACACTTTTAGTAGTGGTGTGTGAAGATGAGTGTCAATTTTGATTCTCAAGAAGTGTCAAAAATTATGAAGAACGAGATTCAAGAAGTAGAAGGTGCTACGGAGATGCAATAGGCAACTTATAGAGAGTTGAAGAAAAAAGGCTAAAAAGCTCTTTTCTTAATCCATCATGTATGGATTCTGCTAATTTTGAGAAAATTTGCTTAATTAGTTTGGCAAAAGAAGTTGGGATATTTTACATAAAACTAATGGAGGTATTGATAAAGTGAAGAAGATGAAGTTTCAATCTCTTCAAAGGCAATATGAGTTGTTGTCTATGAATAATCAAGAGTCCATAGCTGATTATTTCAATCAAATTCAAACCCTCATTAATTTGATGAAATCTTGTAATGAGAAGTTTACAAATCAACAAATTATAGACAAGATGTTGAGAACTTTGACTCCTTGTTTTGATCATATATTGTGGTGACAATCAAGAAATCCTGAGACGATAAAGGTAGGGGAGTTGCAAAATTCCCATGAGGCTCATGAACAGATGCTAAATGAGAGGAGGAATGGTGAAAAGATTCAAGAACAAATCTTAGTGGCTCAAATCAACTATAAGAAGAAAGTGTAGGTGCTTGAAACAAGAAAGGAAAAGACAAGTAAAAAGGTGACAAGAATAGTAAAGTTAGTGACTCATCAAATGGTCAAAATCAGTGTTACACTGAATATGATCATGTCGAGTCTTCAAACAGATAACAGGATGGTCCAACTCAAAGATTTTAGGAAAAGAAGAAGTTTGATAAGAAGAAAATATAGTGCTACAATTAGCAAAATTAGGGACATTTTGCAAGAGAATGCAAAAGTGGCAAAGGAGGAAAGGAAAAATTTGATGGTGAAATATATCTTGCTCAAGGCAAAGGGTTGGATTCCGATAAAGTATTGTTGATGGTAACCACAAGCTCTAATGATGATAGCTCTAAATCTTGGTATATTGACACAAATTATTCAAATCATATGACATGGCATGAGGATTAGTTACTTGATTTTGATGTTAGCGTTCAGAATAAGCGAAATTTACAAATAACAATATCATTACAACAAAAGAAATGAGAAAGGTTGTAATCAATCTCCATGTGACTCAAAAAATCTTGAAGTTTAATCTTTAACCTTTTTAAAATATATGGGAGATTTTTGTATATTTTGATTGATATTTCAAAAAGATTAATATATTTATGTAATTAAGAAAGTTAATATTTAGGTTTTATCAAATAAATATTCTATTTATTTTAGTTTTGTTGACGAAGTCTATCTTATCCTTTTTATTTGGTCTCCTAAGAATTAGTTTCACCTTATCCTTATTGATCGATTCACTTAGTCGTCTAAGGTAGTTTTGAGAAACAACCTTCTTCATTATAAAATAAAACAATCAAAAGATTTTTAAGATGTTTCACACACACCTCTTCTTTATCACTTAATGAGTTTCATGAGTTATTCTCATTTAAAAATTTGATAATTTTAATACTTTAATTATTATTAGAAAGAATTTGTTATATCTCGAGAGATTTGCACATCACATAAATAAGTTTTTAAAAATAGTGTTACCACACATCCTAGATTATTTATATTTGTAATAGTACTAGTTTCAGATAATAAAAAAAAAACTTTTGTTTAATGAAAATGGTTAATAATGTACAACACTTCCTTGTGAATCAAACTTGAAAATACTCGATGACTCACTCATCTACAAGACTCCTTCAACAGGTTTTAGTATTGACTCCGTGGGCCAAAACCAAAACAAAAAAGCATGTGGCCTTGCCATTTGTCTTGGTCACGTGTCAGCCTCGGAATGCAAAACTTGTGTCTCCGAGGCACCCAAAGAAATCCTCAATCGCTGTCCATACAACAAAGGTGCCGTAATTTGGTACGACTATTGCATGTTGAAGTACTTGGACAATGATTTCTCTGGCAAAGTTAACAACACAGACAGGTTCTACATGTGGAACTTGAAAAACTCATGTGATCCTGCAACGTTTAACTATAAGACTAGAGTTGTTGAGTCAGTTCGCTCAAAAGGCTTATGTAAATCCTAAACTGTTTGCAACTGGAGAGCTAAAGCTTCAGAAATCAGAGACGCTTTATGGGTTGACTCAGTACACCAGAGACTTATCTAGCAATGATTGTAAGAAGTGTCTTGATGATGCAATTAATGAACTTCCATATTGTTGTGATGGATAAACAGGAGGCAGGGTTGTGGGTGGAAGTTGTAACTTCCGATGAGTTATACCCGTTTGTGTCAGTAAATACATGAACTTCCATATTAGAGAACTTCCAGATTGTTGTGACGGAAAGCAAGATGGAAGGCTTGTCAGTGGGAGCTGCTATGTTAGATATGAACTATACCCTATTGTTGAGGCCTAGACAATTATTTTTGCAGTTTTAGTTGTTGGGGTTAATTTATAGTATTTTTCTAAGGAGATATTTTATGAGATTTATTTTTATAAGTTTATTATACAAGCATATTTCACGATGATGAGATATTGTCCGTTTTAAACTTAAGTCCTCACGGTTTTGTTTTTGGTCATCACCCAAAAGGTTTCTCTATCATTGAAGTATGCTTTAGTTATATAAGTTGTTATTTCTTGTTTTATTTTATAAGATGTGAGACTTGTTTGTATCCCAATAATCCTCCCCTCAAACAAGGGGCTTAACCTTTATCCCAATAATCCTTCCCTCAAACAAGGGATCTAATCTTTCATGCAGCAGAATCTGTCTTTATATATCACATTATATGTTATGGTATGTTATGAGAGTTGTTACCGCATCCAACCAGGCAGCTCTAATACCACTAATGAGATTATTTTTATGATATTTGTCTGTGGGGACCTTTATCCCAATAATTCTCCACTCAAATAAAGGACCTAACCTTTATCAATGTGAGACTTGTTTGTATCTCAACATTAGTTACATGAAATTTTGTTATATATGTTATATTTGATATCTAAATAAATGATCATGTGGACTTGGAAGCAGCCCAATGAAGAAATTCTTTGGTAAACATTACATATAGCAAACACTTAGATTAATGATTCAGTTTTAACAGCCATCCATGCTGTGTAATACAGTGTCACCTAATATGATACTGGTTATAAAAGTCAATAAATTTATAATATGACCTTTTGAAGTTGAATGAATGTATAAAACCTTTTCATACTAAGTTGTGTAGATCATATTATGAAAAATGATTTTACACGTCACTCTGTTTTGTTCACATCCCTAAACCTTGTTGACCTACAAATTTTGGAAAGGGAAAACGTGATTAAAAGTACACTTTTTCGGTGACCGATGTAGCTTAATTAAAACTTTCTTTTAACAAGTGTTGGGTTTAAAATTTAAGGTGATGTAAAACTTAATGGTGGAAATTATTGCATTGAGATCAAGGGGTACTTCAGAAAAGGAAATTCAGAAGTTGCCATCGGCTTGTTTTTCTGGACATGATGTGTTCTGCGTACGGTCGATTCTTCCAACAGAAATGTATCAACTTGATGCCTTTCCGAAAAAATTAACCGAGGAATTTCACCGTTGTCAGTATGGTGTTGTGTTTGCGCTTATGTAAATAGATAAAATGTAATGGCAACATTGTTAGTAATACCAGTTTCCGCTGCATTTTTATTATGTTCCTTATTAGATTCCTACTAGCCAACAAAATAGTTTAATATTCTGGCACGATGTGTTGGTTGGATCCTTGGATACATGGATTAGGTGCACCACTAGGGAAGAACAGGCAAAGGCTCAAAATGATTGTCCTGCACCTCTCACATTTATTCCACAAACCATGGGAAATTTTTTGTGCTGCCAGATTTAGATTGGTTAGAATAAAAAAAAACTTCCTTGAGAAATTTTTGGTGCAAGTGAACTAAGTCACAAATTTCTGATAGTGAAATTGATAAAATACTTATTAAATAAAAAATTTGAAAAAGGCCAAACTTGAGTTGTTGCAAATCCAACAACTATCACCTGAAAATTCTACACCTGTGAATCCGCCAGGAATCAACCACCCAAACGCCTCCCACCCTTTCCCTTAGCCAGAAAAATTTAGTAAATAAAAGATTAGGAATCAGATGGAAGAGTCAAGACAGGCAAGAATTACTTTCATTCCAACTAATATAATCCCTCTCATCTGCATGACTATACCAACTCCTGCATTGCATCACTGAACCCCAAGTAACTTTATGCCTCTATATATTTAGACTCCTAAACTCAAGTCAAATGTCAATCACATCCAAGCCATTAACTTTGACCACTCTCATCTCTTGAGATTCTTCTCTGTCTCTAATAATCCACACTTTTAGCATTAGCAAACATGGGTGTTCCAGAAATCATGTTCAGGGTATCTTATATGGCTATACTCATCAAATTGGCCATGGCTACAAATTACATTGTTGGAGGACCAAATGGTGGGTGGGACACAAACTCAAACCTTCAATCATGGGCCTCATCCCAAGTATTTTCAGTGGGAGACAGTCTTGGTAAGTAACTACTACCATGTTTAGGGTTTAGGGTTTAGGGTTTAGGAGTGATAAGGTGGTCTGGTGGTAAAAGGAGGTGGTCCTGGGGCTGGAGGGATAAGGCAGGATGGAGGTTCGAGTCCCCCTAGGACCCAGCGGAGATAACTACTAATTACTAACTATTAATATTTGCCTATCAAAAAAAAAAAAAAAAAACTACTACCATGCATCCATCAAGCACGTTACCTTTGTGTTGATCAAAAGGTTGATAAACTTTTTCATAAATGTTATAGGAAAGAAAAATAGAAAGTAAAAATGAAATAAGCTTCTCAATAGGAAAGAAAAATATAAAGTAAAAATGAAATAAGTTTCTCTATAAATTAAAATTAATTCATACATTTACGGATTTATAGAATTCTTCTCCAATTGATTTTTTCAAAATCTTATTTTTAATTTATACATAAGTTAATTTTAATTTATAGAAAAATTTATTTTGATTTTCCTTTATATTTTTCTCTATTATAAGCTTATCCAAAAAAACCTCTAATGCAAAATATTGTTTGTAAGTTGATGACGTTGACATTGATCATTAATGCATGCAGTTTTCCAGTATCCGCCAAACCACAACGTGGTTGAAGTTACAAAGGCTGACTATGACTCATGCCAGCCAACAAACCCAATTCAGTCTTACAATGATGGCGCCACCACCATCCCTTTGACTTCACCAGGTAAAAGATACTTCATCTGTGGGGCAATAGGACATTGCAGCCAAGGAATGAAGGTTGAAATAGACACTCTTGCCAGTGCAACAACTTCTGCCATACCAGCAGCATCTCCTGAAGATTCTACTACTTCACCTGCAGAATCTCCTGAAGATTCTACTATTTCACCTGCAGAATCTCCGGAAGATTCTACTATTTCACCTGCAGAATCTCCTGAAGATAGTCCCACAGCACCAAGTCCTTTTTTCCAAACACATCTAGAAAGTCCTATATTCCCTCCAGTCATTCCTTCTACTGAATTTCCTGCTTCTGCTTCACCTCTAGCACAACATTCATCTGACCTGTCAGCTTCTCCAACCAGGAAAGGAAATCTACAAGCCTCGGTTGCGGTTGTGCTATGCTTTTTAATGATGTTTATGGCCTTCTAAGGATGGGAAAAATCTCACTCAACTGTTGCTTGTGAGCTTATTCCATGTGAAATTTTTTTTTTGGTGTTCTCTTTGTTGGTTTGGTGTGGTTATTGGCTTATTGCTTACAAATTCAGAGATGTACTATCATGAGCATGTCTTATTAGTCAATGATATTTGATTTTAGACCCTACTACTGAAACTGCTTTTTTTTATTTATTTATTTATTTTTTATCATCCTATGCACTTTCTGTTATTAAAAATGAAAGAAATATAGGTACTAAAATACACAAATGAGCTATTGCTTATGGACTATCGGTTGAGAAATTTTCCCTTTCTAGAACCTGGACCAACAAAAAAGAAAAAGATTCCAAAATCACTTAAACTCACTTTTATTTTTAATAATGAAACACACTTTGTAGCCATGACATGTAGTATTTTCTTAATATAGTTCAGACAACAAAACAACAGCACAAATTTATCATATAACCAAGTTTCCAAGCACACTTTCCATTACTGACTTTAGAAAACACACAATAGACAAGATGGATAACTTACACAAAAATATAACACAAGCAAATAACACACACAACAAAGAAGTGGATGCTATTGCTAACCACTTTATGCAACTGGAGGTCGAAGCAGATGATCCTTTGATGTATCAAGTGCAGCAGGGGGCATAAACTGCCACATGGCATATCCAGGGTATCCAATGAAAGGTATCAGCTTGTGGCCACCAACTTGTCCTTTAGCAGTTGCGGTTTGAGGGAGGATGCTAGGGTGCACATTTGTCAGTTTTACCTGCTGCTCCAATTTTTCTTTCTCTTCCTTCAGCCTATTCTTCTCATCACGAAGCTCATTCTTTTCGGCCTGCAACGAAACATAAATTCAGAACTACACACTCGTGATTACCACTTATGTTTTAGAAACAGAAAGCATAAAAAATTGAACTTCAGACAGAAATAATCATATCAGGATATATTTGAATAAACTTATCTCAAAGCACTTCTAAAAGAAAAAAAATGAAATGAACTTCTTTATAAACTAAAATTTGCTTATGCACAACTTTAAAATAAGTTTTGGAAGAAGTTAATACTATATTCTTTCTACAAATTAACTTATGCATAAACAAATCTTAACTTATGGAGAAACTTATTTGATTTTATCCTTCCTATTTTCTTCTCTTTTAAGTGTTTATGAAGAAGTTTATCTAACTCTTGCATCAATTAATCAAAATAACTTTTAGAAACAGAAAATCACCTTCAATTCTTTAACTTTTGCCTGTAATTCATCATTCATTTCCTTCACCCTCTCGGCTTCATTTCTCAATTGAATTACCACTCGAGCCGCATCACTTAATATTGCAACTTTGTCTGTTTTGGGCAGCCTACCAGGCTCCAAGATGGAACTCAATTCCAGAAACCTTAAAATCACGCCAAATTTAAGACATGAGATTATTTAGCAGACTAAACTCAATCAGACAAGATGCAAATTAATAGCATGCCTCTCATTCAGTTTATCCCTTCGCAATTTCTCACGACCTGCCTTGGAGCCAGATGCACATGATTCAGTCCTTAACCTGAAGTAGCAGTTGCAAATGATTCAGGGAAAATAATGAAAGAGAGAGAAAGGTGACAGAGGTAAAAAAGAGAACCATTAGTTAACCAAGTAAGAAAGAAACATAACGGGTATTCCTAATCTCCAAATTTATGAAATTCAAACAACATAAGAAACATTTTTGATGTAAAAAATTCTCTTTAGTGACTAATAATGATTGGTTACCAGAGTCAATTGAAAGAATCATTTCAAAATTCAGTGCACGATAAAATTCTTTTTACTCAAACTCACATTCACTATAGTACTGTTAGTACATAGCATTAATTTCCTCTTCTATATTTAAAACATGGAAAAAACTGTATGTAAAGTTCTAGCCGACAGAGTTTGGATTATTGGGTGCTCTATTGCTGTACAATCTCATAATTCACAAAACATGTCACAGGACAGGCTTCAAATTGTACAAATTTCTAAATTATCCTGGTACTGACTCACATCCCTGCTATATGTCAAGATTCCAAATCATAGAACTTTGAACCCAATCAAAATAAAAGTTAAACTTAAACAGTTATGAAGGTACAACTTTTACTTCATATATTCTTTACAGAGAGCCACAGTACATAGATATTACCGTTTAGAAGGACCATTTTCCAGGACAGTTGAATCCAGTGAGTATTCCATTTCTAAGCTGCAATTATGAAATAATCATCATGATTCATGATGCAGTTCTAGCTTTTTAATAAAGGTTAATTAAATTTCACCTTTCTAGGTATTAGAGCTTATATCTTCTTGCTAACTACAGTTAACTGAGGACTAAGTTATTTACTGAAAATATAAGCTCTAATACTAGTAAACAATAAGAAATACAATATTCACTACCAGAATTCCCATGCTCAACAGTTTGTGGTGCAAAGTTAAAAGTTTAAACCAAACCCACCTCATATTTGAAGGACCCTTGAAGGTCTGACTCTGAGGCCCCCAACTGAAACCAGCAGAGTCTGCAGCCATGAAGTCAGCACCAGCAACAGAGATGTCAAAGGAATAATCATAAAGCCAACCGGAGGCACCACCAGAGGAATTCATTTCCATGCTGCAAGCAAGAACAAGAAGAGAGAAGAATAGTGTGTATCAACTTATGCCAAGAGAGTAGTGATAAGTGAATAGCGTAAGAATATTATAATACTATGTAACATAAAACATTATTATTCATTTGTTCCTTTGGCTTTTGTTTATATTACTTGTTCCTTATCTTTCGTTGTGAGAGTAAAGAGAAAGTCATTGTGATTATGAGGCAGTGACGGAAGCAGCAGATTGTGCGTCATGGTAGAACAGTGCACCATGGCCAATTGGAATTACGTTGTTACAGTGAATAGGAGCCAAGTAAACGCCATCACTACTTGGTCGATGCCTTTGTGTTGGCCCATTCACATGCAAAGCCGAGTTGACTATTCAGCCACCTTATTATTTTACCCAAAAAAAATTCCATTAATGGCTTATAGTGGCTAATTATCTGTATTATACATTGTAAAACAGAATTTCACTTTGTGTTCCTAACGTCAAAATATTCTAGTAATTACTTTTGGTTTGGCCGGAGAACAAGACTAGAAGATGAAACCTAAAGTTTTTCCATCATAATATTACAAAATTATAAAAAAATATTTAAAAACATTTTTCAAGAAACTATTGCATCTTTTAAAAATATATATACCTCACTTTTTAATAAAGATAAAATAAGCTACTCATTCATGAGAATATCATCAACTATTAATATTTTAACATATTCATATCTGTTATATACGTTAACACTTAAAATGTTTAGTGGACATCACTATTACATATCACTGATATCAGCTATTACAAACGATGGCTGTCATTTAAAAATAACTATTCACAAGAAGACTATTAATATAGTCAACATTGGAGATAAAAAGTAATGGCTTGAGGTGTCAATTACTTTTGGTTGAAAGGGTGTGAAAAGATGGAACCATTAGAAATACACAATAAGGAGAAGGAGTAATAACCATAACCCTTATTTTTGCCCTAAAATTGTAGCGGAGTTGTGTGGGACTGTGGGTATTGAAAACGTTTTAATTGTTTTAGGCCTTTTAAATAATGCAAAAAATGTTCTAAACAAATCCACAGCCAAGAAATTTAAATTATTTTCTTTCCTCAATTTTGTAGTTTTCGTTTACGTTTAACCCATTTTTATTCAAATTACAACTTTCTTTATAACATTTTTTTACATACTTTCATTTACCGTGTGTCATTAATTAAAATCGAAAAGATCAAAGAACTTCAATTTATAACTGTTGGATAGCTCTTTAAAGTGAATCAAGAATCTAATCAAAGAATAAAATATTTTTCGATCACATTTCACATCAACAATATACAAAGACATGGGTTATTAATTTTTATTAATAATTAAAAATACTTATTTTATCATCTAGATTATTTTAGGATAGATGGATCTTATATAGGAGCTATCATCTTTAGGGATGGTGAACTATTTAATGAGGGTCGAGGGTTGGGTAGGACAGCTCCGGTGATGTTTCTAGAAATCACGATATTGAAATTGACGTACTAATCCTAATAATAATAGTGATTAGCTCATTCGAATTAGTATATTGTGCTGAGTTTTCCTTTGTTGAGCTCATCTATGCTCTTTATATGCTTAATAAAATCCAACTAGCCCTTTCCGAATGGCTTGAAACATGCTGTTAATTGATGTGACATGATTACTATAATCGTGTGCTTTAAGAATTAATTAGATCAAAACAACTTTCTATTATACTCCTACTTTAACTAATATAGATCAGTTAAATTATTGTTAAATTAAATATGAGTACATAATATGATCATATAATAAGTCGTGACTAATTTTTGAAGAAATTGTTATATAAAAATTATGTTTTTTTTCTTTTCAATATCTCTTTTAAAAACTATGACAAATAATTCGGTTAATATATAGACGCTCATCACTATCACTTTTACTGACCACTAATGAAATATTATGTAATAATGTGAGATAGCCGATCTACGTACCTTCCAACTAATTCAACTAATCTTTTACAATATAAAATACTGTCATAAATAACTCAAATAAATACACACATCTCACATCACAAATTCATTATGATGCTAATGACAACATTATGACACTTAAGCGATAAAAGAAATACATTTATATTATATCACGTAAGCTTGCATTTTAAAAAATAAGTACATGCGATCTAATATGGGATAATTAAAATTATTGTATCACCGATGATGATCCTGAATTATGCTAGACTATACAAAATAATTTTGAACATTACAGTCACAAAAACTTCATTTAGCATGCAATTAGTGTAGTGACTCGTATATATAGCACGAGTATATGTTATTTCTTGTATTTTGATTTATAGATTTTGCTTTAAATTTATATTGTTCAACACACACCATTAATTATATTTATTGAATCAAACTCTATTTGTATATGGATAAAAAAAACACTCGCCATTCGTATCAACAAACTGAGCATGTTGACTAGCACTTAGTTCAATTTGTTCTAAATTAGATTTTTAATTTATCAAACCACAAAAAGGAAGAACAATGATCAATTAATGTTGGCGATAATGAAATTTAGCATGTATAATTTTTAAGTAAAAAAATGTACCCAAGTTAGTTATATTAGAGAAAGAGTAACGTTATAAGAGGACATGGCCAGAAGTAAATGTGGTGTGTGTCAAAGTGGTAGAGACCTTTTCCTAATTAAATATATTTTAAATTCTTACAACTATATGTTGCAGTTTGGTTTTAGTTATCGAATAATATATATATATATATATATTAAGATAATTAAGTTAAGAAAATGTAAATTTAAATAATTAGATTATTTTCAATTAAATAATATAATTAATATTTCATATAAATAACGTAATTACATATAGTTTACTTCTATAGTTTATTTGTAATTTTAATATATCACAAATAGTTTTTTTTATTGCTTTTAATATTTTTCTTATTTTCAAGTTCACTAATTTACTTTAAGATTGTACTTTTTGTGAAAAATGTACATATAATTTACATATCGCTTATAATTTAATTTTAATATATTACTATAATTAAATTCACTAATTTTAACAATTTAATATTGTCTTGTATTAAACATTACTAGTTTTATTTTTAATAATATTAGTATCAAATAGATTTGACCCCCTAACCCAATATAACTAAATAATTATTAAATTTTAAATCAGTAGAAAATTTACCCTACTCCCACCTTATATCTTAATACATGTTTGAATATTAATTTAAAATTACATTAAAAAAAAGTTTTAATATAAAAAGATTTAAAAAATTATGAATGTAACATTTTTTTTAATTTTAATTAAATTAAATTCAACTAGTTTTCAAACATATAATCTAGACCCAGCCAAAAGATTCAATTTGTCAGCTCTTAGGCCTGTTCGTTTATTCTTTTTAATAATAAATTAAACAATTTTACTTTTTAAAATATTTTAATTTATTTATTTTAAAAGAAAAACAACTTCTATCTCTTAAAATTTAAAAACCACATTTTTAAAACCATTTTTTTACGGACATTTTTTTCTTAATTTTTTTAAAAAAAACTTAGCTTAAATTTCACAAAACAGTCCATCTCTACTGTTTGACGTAGGTTAAAAAAACTAAAAAAAAAGAAAGAAAAACTAGTGCGTTTGTTAATTTTGGGAGGAGCCCCGATTCCCGAATCCTCTTTTTTTACAGGAAAACGTTAAAAAAAATGACTAGTAATAATAATAGCTAAAACGTGGACTGAGGCGTGCTCCACTAATTAGATTCCGTTACCGTTGGCCACTAAACTTCACGTCACAGACTCACAGCTGGTAATAATATTAATAACAACAAGGATTGAATTGAAGCAAAGGAATATGCAGACATAAGAAAGTTAACTTGAGTGACAGTGAGTGTCATCTTTGAAAATCAATCTATCTCCAGGGACGCCTCTGTAAATTCACCACAAAAACGAAAAGTACCCCCCACTATCTCACTCTTCAAATTCACTAATTAAATCCCCTCAGTAAAAGAAAATAAAAATAAAAAATAAAAAATAAGAACCCCTCAGATCCACCACCCCTTTTCCTTAATTGCCGCAATTGCATAATGCAGATTCCAAGCTAGGCAATAGCATGCACTGGACCAGGGGTCACCATCGCCGACCCAGGAGTAGGTGAATTCGTAGGCGGCGCCGCCACGCTAGGTGGATTAGGAGGGGTGGTTTCCGGCGGAGGAGGAGGAGGCGGAGACTGGAGGAGCGGCGGTGGTAAAGATGGGTTGGAGTCAGGAGGAGGAGGAGGAAGAGTTGGATTTGGAAGCGGAGGAGTTGGTGGGGTGGTGGGGTTATCAATGGGGGAGGGTGGGGTTGGTGAATTGAAATTGGGGTTTGGAAATGTGGTTGGTGGAGGAATGCAGGAGCCATCGGAGGGTTTCCGGCGGAGGAGGAGGAGGCGGAGACTGGAGGAGCGGCGGTGGTAAAGATGGGTTGGAGTCAGGAGGAGGAGGAGGAAGAGTTGGATTTGGAAGCGGAGGAGTTGGTGGGGTGGTGGGGTTATCAATGGGGGAGGGTGGGGTTGGTGAATTGAAATTGGGGTTTGGAAATGTGGTTGGTGGAGGAATGCAAGAGCCATAGGAGCATTTATTGGCGGCGGAGTTGTGGTGGTGGCGGCGGAGGAGTCCCAATCCCAAGACTAGGCCGAGAACAAGCAGCACCGTCACTATGAAGATGAAGATCTTTGTTGCTTTGCCCACGTAGCACATTTTTTTTCTTTTTCTCTCAATTTTGGTGGGGGCTTTCTCTCTCTGTCCTTCAACTCTTCCTTTTTAGTACAACTTCTGCTTCTTCTGGGTATGGCTTCTTTTTCGTCTTTTTCTCATGGCGAGACGGAGAGAGAGTGCATGTCAAGACTCAACACTCAACACTCAACACTCAACACTCAACACTTTTTTTTTATTTTTACCACTGCAACTGCTACTACTCGTCGCTTATAAATGAGTGGAGTGGGGTGTTAACGTGAGCACGTGAAGGCTAAGTGTTTGAGAAAAAAAGGTTAATTGTTGCAATGCCTAATAAGGACCATGGTCAAGGTCACTTTTTTGTTTTCTTTTGCACTTTACTTTCACACTGCCTGCTGCTAACTGCTAAGAGTTTTCGTACCAGTAAAGACACTCTGTAAGCGTTACTGATGTTAACTCCATTTTTTGGCCATTAGCATCGCCCATTTTCCATCCATAATAAATAAATTAAATATCCTTTTTTTTTTATCCTAAGAAATGGTTGTTTCTTGCTAGTTGCTAGGGGCTGGGGCGAAATAAATTGTATCCATAAAAATTGTATTGTAATAAATTGGATATTTTAGTGCTTTTTTATTTATTTTCCTTTTGTAGATATCATTATTTTTCACTGTCAGAGAACCTTGGACTGAAGAATAGCAAGGGGGGGTACGAATAAATTTGGACATTCTGGCAGGGCTAGTAAGAGATGAAGGAATCTACTATGAACGAGGATGGATCGCAAGTGAAATTGAGCCGTTAAATGGGGATAGTCAATTGTCATAGAGAACCGAGCTTGACAGACATGCATGTCTGCCACGTCACCATTCATTATAGGGTTGTCGTCGCTGTGCATCTATCGAGTTGGGCTGGGATGCTTATAATTATATTATTAAAAAGTGTACAGATTACTAGATTGCTCTAAACAAGTTGGGCTGGGAGCCATTTTTTTTTTTTAAAAAATTTTTACGGTTTGACCTCCAAACAAGTGGGCCCAGGACATAGCCCAATCGATCTCCATATAGCCTGAGCCCGTGACACCAAAGACCCATCAGTCTCATTTAGTCAGTTAGGCAACAGGAGGAGGAGGAGTAGGTTACCTCTCTGCCTTTCTGTTACAACTCAAACTTAACTGTATATTATATTTTCTCTAATTAGGACTATTTATTTAGTCTCATCTGTGTTTTATAATTTCAATCGTTGATTTATAACAAGTTTCGGTCTTTGCAGATTAGTCTCTTTATATTCTAATTATTTTTTGTGAATAGTCACTCATCAATGATAAATTTCTATGTGTAGTTTGATCTCCTTAAATCCTTTATCTCTCACTTTCTCTTATTCTTATTAAAGTTTAGGGATTTTCTCATTTCAAATAGAGCATTCTCACTTCGTTGGTTTTTTTTTTTATATTTAACCTTTGGTCATTGGTTTTGAGATTTTAACTTTGTTGCTTCATTTTGTCGTTTGGATAGCGCTTCTAGTTTTTTGGTGCAAGTAAATATGTTTCTAGGCACGAAGTTTAGGGTATTCATGTTTGGTATACCGATTTGAAGTTTTTTATGTTCGTTTGGGGTATGTGTTGCTCATTTGGAGTATGCGTCACTTTATTTTGAAGCTATGTTTAAGATTTGTAAACCTTAAATCTATTCGAAGTTGTATTGTTAGTTTTTGCTAATGCATCATTATTGTCGTCTCCTTCAACAAGAATCATAAACTCATTCCCAGTTCAATTTGTTTGTTTTCAATATTTGGTTTGGGTGCTAAAAGAAATACAATTTTTAATCTAAAAAAAAGAAAGTTAGCAACACCTTGCAGCTATAACACCCACAACAACCTATAAACAAACCAAAGAAATCTTATAAAATGTTGTACTAGATGAAAAAAAAAAAAAAAAAGGATTGAAATGAGGGTTCCAAAGACATACTCTGACCTTTGCCTTCAGAACACAAATTGAAATAAGAAAAAAACTTAAGTATGAAAACAATGCTAAGAAGAACGCAAAGTATAGACATTCATATCAGTTCTTTAATTACCAATGATGTAGACCATTGTTTTAATGTAGAAATGACACGTATACCAATACCAGTAGAATATTGTTTTAATAAGAGTAACTAGAATAGAATAGATAATGAGGTGTCAATAACATGTCACTGGAAGACTAATCTTTAATAAAAACATAAAGCCCAATTAGAAACACTCGGCCCATGTAAAACATTGACACTATCGGCCCACAAGTTCTTTCTATCTTTGATCACTGATGTAAGAGGAAGAAGCAACTTCCACCACACTCATATAATTAAACTGCGTCATTAGTTTCTTTTACATACCCATTGTTCAACAATTTTAATTATTTTATAATTTTAAAACATAAAATAATAAACATATTTAATTATTTTACAATTATATTGTAATAAAAAATTATTATATTTATAATATTTATAATTTTATAAATAATATTTTTAATATTTCCTATAAATTAATAAAAAATTATTAGAAGTGAAGTGTTAGTCAATCCGTCCTGTCTCATTCTATCCGGTCCCACTTAGAATTAGAAAATATTTATTGAAATAAGAATTAGCATTTTTTTTTTACAAATATTATGATTTTTAAAAAGAGTTAATCACCTATACATTGCCAGCGTAAAGTTTTTTTACACTGACAACCAATCATATCTTTTAGTATTGCCATATCATTTACTTATTTAATAAAATAAAAATAAAATAAAATCTATTAAAAGATATGATTAGTGTAAAAAACTTTACACTGATAGTGTATAAATGATTAAATCTTTTAAAAAAATATTACAAAATAGTGTTTAAAATATGAATTAGCCATCCCTGCAAAGTTAGGTTATGTGAGTTGGCTTGTCGAGTCCAACTGAATTTGTCATCTTTAATTAGAAATAATTATTTTGATGATCTTACTAAAATAGTAGAATATTTTAGTAATAATAGAATATTAGTTAATTATTAACATTATTATTTATAATGTTTAAAACTTTTTTTAATTTTAAAAATAACTTGACAAATAACATTATAGTTTTAAGACACGTAATAATATGATAATATATATATATATATATATATATATATATTTAAATTAAATAATAATAAAATTAACCTGGTATAAGCTGAAAGCTGAAACGTTCTTTTATTATATAGAAGGTTTGCGGGTGTTAATAACAGCTTTGGAACTTGAAAGAGTGCTCTCTAATAAGAGAAAAAGCCCAATTAGAAAAACTGGGCCCATCGTGAAAAATTGACATCGACGGTCCACGAGCTCTCTCTATCTTTGATCATTGGTCCAAGAGGAAGAAACAACATCCACCACGTTCATATATAATTAAACTGCATCACCAGTTCCTTTAACTTACAAACAGAATTAACAATTTCACTATACACTGACTCAAATTTCAAAACATCACTCATTGTTCAATTCATTTATTTTCACTTTTTCTCATAGATTCTCCCATTGCAAGCAAAATTTGTGCACCTACATGCAAAGACAAAATGGAAAACGTAGTGTGTGCAGCACAGCGCAATGGGACAAGAATCACGCTTCAGTTCCAAGAAAGGTATAATTTCCAACACCACGGAATGTCAAGTACGGGTGGAGCTATACGTGTGGAGAGAGCAAGGAAGCCAAACTCCACGCATGGCTTCAAATTGAACCATGGCCTCCGCAAGAAACAACCAGGTCTTGGAGTGCCGTTGAAAGCTGCTACTGCTGAATCAGAGGTAAACCATTCTTCTCCTTTTCTTTCATAGAAATTAACCAAAGAAACAGTAACGGTGATACTGTATTATTAAGCTCTGGTGAGAGTTTCTCATGGTTATCATCCTTGGCCTTGCATGTGTTCTTTGTTTTTCTTTAATTATTTATTTATGCGTCTATACATTGTCCAAAATTAGAATAATTTAATTATTTATCTTTTCATATTTTCTTGTGACCAAACAAAATTTCATATAACATTGATTAGATTGACCATAATGACCCTAACTCATCATCTCCCTTGTCTTTTGTTTCGTAACCGAGTGTGATAGGGTGAGAGAGACCCACCCAGCCCAGCCCAGGAGACTATTTGAGTGGTCCACGCTGATGAAGATGCCTATTTTAATCGCTTTTCACGGATACCTTATTAATAGGATCATTAAGGGGGAGATTCGAGAATATATCAATATCATTAATTAATCAAGAATGTTATTTACTATGAATGTGATTAACACTAAAGGAAATTATATTTCCCATATTTTATTATTCATTGACAATAAAATAGTGTGAGAATAAGAGGGAAAGTTAACTGATTCAGCAATCAATAACTACTTTATTCTAAGTGAGTACTAATACAACCAGAAGTTTAAAACGATAGTAATTTAAGTAATCAATTTCAATACAGACCATAATTTATTTTTTTTAATTTATGAATATTCTATTCTTTTATGATAAAATGTGTTATTGGATCATAAAAGAATTGTTTCTCCACAACGATTGCTATTTCTATCTGAGTTTCGCTCTCACCACAAGAAATTATCTTTTTTATTTTTCATAGGAAAAAGAAAGAGATTAAACATATCTCATTACAAATTTAGATAAAACCATTTTTCACCTTTTTTTTTTTTTTGCCGTTCCATTGTTCCTTTTTCACTTCTATTACCAATATCAAATTGTCAAACTTTGGTCATTAAAACAGTTGTGTGTAACAGTTTGCCATGTATATTAAATTTAAAATTTCTACTATAGAGAGAGATCAGGGGCCAGGGATACATGATGTTGTTTCCTTGTGGCGAAAGAACGCGAGCAGAGGCAAATTGTATAATGATCGACAGGTTTTCTGATAGAAAAATTCCAAGCAAAGCATGTAGGAACTCCAATTTCATCCGCCTCTCATTCTGCTCATAAAATGCAGGCACGAAGTCAAACAATTTCCACAGATCCAATGCTTGCAAATTATGTACCAGTATATGTGATGCTCCCCGTAAGTCATAAAACTTCCATTTTCTGTCTACATACCCTTGCTACATTTATCTTGGTGTTGTGTTTCATTTTGAAAATGTAATGGTTGCTGCTGCCAGCTGGGAGTTGTTACAAATGACAATGTCTTAGAAGACAGAGAGGGACTAGAGAACCAACTCAGGGAGTTACATGCAGCAGGTGTTGATGGGGTTATGGTTGATGTGTGGTGGGGTATAGTAGAAGCAAAGGGGCCTAAGAAGTATGATTGGTCAGCTTATAGGACCTTGTTTAAATTGGTTCAAGATTGCAAATTGAAGTTACAAGCTATAATGTCATTCCACCAATGTGGGGGAAATGTGGGAGATTCTGTTTTCATCCCGCTCCCTAAATGGGTACTTGACGTTGGAAATTCAAATTTTAATATCTTTTACACAAACCACAAAGGTTTCAAGAACAAGGAATGTCTATCCCTTGGCGTGGACAACCAACCTTTGTTTCATGGAAGAACTCCCATTCAGGTAAGTTTCTTGAAAAAATTGATTTCCTACATGTTACTCAAAGTCTTAAACTCTAGTTTTACTAGTCTGGTTACAATTCCTGTATTTCTAACCATATGCATGTCCATTTGATACAGCTGTACACGGATTACATGCAGAGCTTCAGAGATAATATGGAAGATTTTCTTGAATCAGAGCTCTTCATAGACATTGAAGTAGGACTTGGCCCTGCAGGAGAGCTCAGATATCCATCTTATACAGAAACTATGGGGTGGGTATTTCCTGGTATTGGAGAATTTCAGGTGAGTCTGGACTTGGAGTTTTCTGTTGTAGCTATATATATGTGCATAGTCTCATAAAATACTCGGCACATCATTTAAAACAAATAAGGTTTAAACTTGATGTTATATATTTACTACTTGAATCAATAAAAACACACCTTCCAATTCTCTAACTTATTTACTTGCCTCTGACATGTTGCAGTGTTATGACAAATATCTTAAAGCTGATTTCAAAGAGGCTGCTGCAAAGGCAGGCCATCCTGAATGGGAGCTTCCAGATAACGCTGGGGAAACGAATGACGAACCAGAATCAACAGAATTTTTCAAATCAGGGGGAACCTATCAAACTGAGAAAGGGAAATTTTTTCTAACATGGTATTCCAACAGGTTGTTGACCCATGGTGATGAGATCCTCGATGAAGCCAACAATGTGTTCCTAGGTTGCAAAGTGAAGTTAGCAGCAAAAGTAAATTCTTAAATGCATACATAAATTAGCTAGACCTTTCTTTTCTTCATGAATCAACTGACAGTTGGTTCTTTGTAAAACAGGTTGCTGGAATTCACTGGTGGTATAAAACAGAAAGCCATGCTGCAGAGCTTACTTCAGGATATTACAACTTAGATCATAGAGATGGATACAGACCCATAGCAAAGATGCTCTCACGACACAAAGCTATTTTAAATTTTACATGTCTTGAGATGAGAAATCACGAGCAACCAGCTGAAGCCAAAAGTGGAGTCCAAGAACTTGTTCAGCGGGTAATTTATTTATTTCAACTTAAATTATAATATAATTCCTTCAACTAATCAAGAGAACTTGTGATTGATATGTAGTTCAAGTTGCAAGACACGAATATATTGTTATTATGGGAAACAAGTTATCCACGATGTAACATGCGTCACACTGTCGATTAGTATTACGTGGATAAGTCGTAGAGTGAAATAACCTAGAGAAAAATGTGGTTTGAATTACACTTAAAGGGCAGGCGTATACTATCGTAGCAATAACAATGCGCATAGTGCATATATCCCCAAAGAACTAATTTGGTGTACCTTAAAAAAATCTTTATGATGTTTATTCGAGATAGGGTTTAAGTTGTAAAGAATTTGATATAAAAAAAAGTTGTAAAAAATTTAAATAAAAAACTTTAAGTTGAATTGAATTTTTTCTATCCTTTAATTTAATTGTAATCCTATTCATAAATTCAATTGCCAATTTTCACTCTATTAGTTTTATTCACAATTTTTGTTCACCAATTGTTAAAAAAAAAAAAAAAAATCCTAGCAAATATTCAGTCCCGTGAAAGGCTGAAAGCTAAACAGCAAGTATGCCTCATATGTCACCTGAGTTGGTGGGTTCCAATCATGTATAGCACTGGGCAACATTCAAAAAGTCCAACCAATACTTAAACTTGTCAATTATAATTGTTTTGGTTAAACATTGAGTTACATTTTTTGAAGTATGAATCTTATTAAGAAGTATATGACAATTGACAAAATGTCATCAATTCTTTGATCTTATAGAATCTTATATTAATATGATTAGTTCTAGCATGATATACACAAGATTCTTTTTCGAATAAATAACATTTTGACTGTTGCAATATCTTGCTGAATGTCCAACTCCTTTATTCGCCCTATAAGTTATAAGACTTCTTTATCAGCCTTAACTGCTGCCATGTACTACATAACCAAAATTGATTGAACACTTGATTTCCAACAAATAGTAATAAACATGTGCCCCTTAGATATTTGAAGATCCACTTCGCTGCTTCCTAATGTTAAATCCTTCCCTTGCTTTAACACAAACTTAAAGGTTTGACATACAACATGTGTCATCAAACTTTCTAAAAATATTTTTTAACACATTTTAGTAGTAATTTAAAAAACTCATTAAGTAAAGTGGAATCTACTAGTATTTATATTTTTTTAATAAATTTTAACTAAAGTAGAGAGTTTGCTGATAACATTTCTTTAACTTTATTCAATGTGCATCTTTTCATGCAGGTCCTTAGCGGAGGTTGGATGGAGAACCTTGAAGTTGCAGGAGAAAATGCACTTTCAAGATATGATCATGAAGCTTACGATCAAATCCTTTTAAATGCCAGACCAAACGGCGTAAATAAATGGGGGGCTCCAACACTAAAAATGTACGGTGTGACATATCTCCGTTTGTCGGAAAAATTATTACAGCAAACAAACTTTGATATATTCAAAGCCTTTGTCAGAAAGATGCATGCTGATTTGGTAAGCATCTTTTACTTCATTTAATGAAAGATGACAATAATGTGTTATTTGAAGTAATGAAATATTCTTTATACAATTTTGTAAAAATGTTACAGGATTATTGTCCAGACCCAGAGAGATACAATCATTTCACAATTCCTATGGAACGGTCAGAGCCAAAAATCCCGATGAAGGCTCTTCTTGAAGCAACGAAACCTATGTCGCCTTATCCATGGTACAAGGAAATAGACATCATTGTTAGTGATGCTACTGGTTTTCTTCGTCATATAGTCACTACTATTTTACGTGTATTCAAACTGAAAACAAAGAGCAAGAAATTATATGATTAATTCTGTTTCAAACCTTGAACAATGTCAATACGAAGTGGAGAAGAGAAAATAGCTTCAAATAGTTTGCTTACAATAGTTCCCTAAATTTTTCTTATACAAAACTCTTTGTCATTATGCCACACCATTTTCATTCTTTTATATCTATCAATTTTTCAAACTCAATCAACTATTGAATGAATAATAATTGTTTTTTTTTAATTTATTACAATCACATTATTAATATAGTTAAATGACAGTTAAAAAAATAGTTTATGCAAACTTATAATCTTTCTGAACAAATCATTAAACACTAGTATAAAATGGGTCTTTTACGTCGTATATTTTGAGCCTTTTATGTCGGAAAAGGCTCCAATGTTAATACGGGAGACGTAAATTTACGTCGCCTGTTAAAGACGACATAAATTTACGTCAGAGATGCCTTGTGCCCGACGTAAAAAAGGGCAAAAAATGACGCAATAATTTACGTCGGACTATACCTTGTCCGACGTAAATTTGCGTCGGCCAGTGATAGGTCCACGTAAATTTATGTCGGACAAGGTGTAGTCCGACGTAAATTGTTGCGTTTTTTTTATTTATAATTTTGGTTTTTTTTTATATACCCAAAACCTGCATATATATAGTCCATAATAAAACCTAAACCAGGCAGTTCAATGCAGTCCCAACCACATAGGGAAAACACGCTAGGGTAAGCTCACAACAATAAACATAAAAAAATAGCATCAAAATATAATAAACAACAATAGAATTCTACTTTCAGCTTGCAACATAAAGCAACATAACACCTACAACAATAGGTACACAATATCATCTAATAATAACAACATTTTCAACACATCACACTTTATTCAAATTTGCCGCTTGTAATCGGTATAGGTCGGCCTGTCCCCTATACCGTGGTCGCTTCATACACGTGTGCCTCGACCTTGCCCACACACGGGACCAACCAAGCCTAGAGGAGAACAACACATCATCCACTCCAAGGAACAAATTTCCAAGGAGGATTTTTAAACAAATTGTGCGCTCAAAGCACCACAACTATCTCAATCTACACAATGGGATGAGCAAATTTGAAAACTGCTCCTCTAGTCCTAGTGATCAACAATTCATCACAACACAATCACATAATATTTATCACAATAGCTCAACTATCAACTCATTCATACAACATTATATATAACTTGAATACAACAACACATGCAACATCAACTAATGCGTCGTCACATGTAACGTAGCAAGTTGTTTGAGAAGGCCCAAAAGCCCAGTATGGGTGATTCAGTAGCCCAGAACGGGCCGTTCCCAAACTAGAATGGGCCATTCCAAACTACCGAATTGACCTATGAAACGTAGTTGAGAACGGACCATTTTGGAGGGAGAACGGGCCATTCCAAACCCCAAAACGGGCCATTCCAGAGGGAGTACAGGCCGTTCTGGATGGAGAACGGGCCATTCTGGATGAGTCCCAAAACGGGCCGTTCTGATTTCAGAACGAGCCATTCTGCATGTAATTTTTGTACGTGATGAGGGGGTGCAGAACAGGCTGTTCTGGATTCAGAACAGGTCGTTCTGGCCACTCCGGAACTTCTATAAATAGGGGGTTGGTGGTTGAGGAGAAAGTAAAGTTTTTAGAGAGAAGTTTTAGAGAGAAGGACTCTGGGTCTGTGAGCTCCTTTCTCTCCCAAATTTCTCTGTATGATTTCTTTTCTTCTCTAGATCACTAATGCCTTCTGTCTTTTCTTGAAAATCAGATTAGGAAGCTTGCTTTGGGAGGATTGAAGTTCCGGGTTGAGCTTCTGAAGGGAATTCTACTTCTTCTCAGTTATTGGCTATTTTAAGCCAATCTTCAGGTGAGGGAAGCTAAAATGTAGGTTGTTTAATTTCAGGAGAGTTAGAGAAACTTTATGCATGATGTTCTTTTGTTGAAATAGTTGAGTTGTTGGGTGCTTAAGTTGATTTATGCTATTTATGTGTAAGTTGACATGATAGATGAATTTTAAATATGTTGTATATTGTTGAAGTTATTTATAAAGTTGTTAAGCTGCATTAAGTTGATATTGTAATGACTATAGTTGTTTAATTAAGTTGTTTGCATGTTGTTAAAATTATTAAAGTTGCATAGTTGTATGATTAAATAAGAAGTTGTCAAGCTGGTATATAATGCCTATTGTTGTATGGTTGTAAGTTATCTATTGTTGTTAAGATGTTTATTGCTGAAAAGTTGTATGTTGTTTAAGTTGTTAAGCTGATTAAGTTGTGATGATGAGTTGTTGATCACTAGGACTAGGGGAGATGTTTTCGAAGTTGCTCATCCCATTGTGTGGATTGAGATAGTTGTGGTGCTCTGAGAGCCCAATTTGTTATAAAAAAAACCCTCCTTGGGGGTTCCTTGGAGTTGACGTTGTGTTGTTCTCCTCTAGGACTTAGTTGATCTCGTGTGCGGGCAAGGTCGAGGCACGCGTGCACAAAGCGACCACGGTATAGGGGCCAGGCCGAGCTATACCGATTACAAGCGGCCAGATGTTTATTGTTGTAAAGTTGTTATGGTGTCTATTGTTGTAAAGTTGAAAAATTGGGGACATATGGTAAAGATATATGTCCTATGCTGAGATACATAGTACTAAGGTGAAAAGTTGAAAGTTGTTTTAAAGTTGAATCCCTTAGTACTGTGTGGGTGACATGGAAATAGTCGATCCATGTTATGGTTGAATGACCAATTTGAGTAAGGTATCTAGTTAGAGATGTAGTCTTTGACTAGGTACTGGAGGGTGTGTGGTACTTGGAGGACAGTGGGTGGGCTAACTCCACATGTGGATTGGTGATGCTAGCCAAGGCCGTGGTAGGCTTATACGCAAACCCTTCTGTCTAGACAGTAGTACTGAACCTCCGAGTCTAAGTTGCACACCTGAGCAATCAACTATTGTTGTCTATACCTAGTTCTCTTCGGAGTTCCTAATGTTGTTCTATACCTAACCTGGTTGAGATAGGTTAAACACTGGATTCGGTAGGGTTTATGCCACCTAGACTGCTCAACCTCAGTTGTTGGTGATCTCCCAGTTGTACATGCATGACGATGCATTAAATATTTTTATATTATTGTTGTTGTTGTATTAAAGTTGTTTCTAAGTTGTATGAATAAGTTGGGTTTTCATGTTGAGCTGTATGGTTGTTTGTGATGATGATTGATATGCATTAATATCTGTCGTGAGATACATTTATTACATGATTGTTAATATGATGAAGAGTATGGTGTTTAGCTCCATGATTGAGGGATTGTATGTTATACATGAGTAGTATTGGATAGAGTATGGTGTAACTCTATGAACATGATTGATAGTTGGATGATTGTGTGGTATAAACTATTGTCTGTACTTGTATGATTGGTTTTGAACTCTATCTTACCCTTCTATTTCCATGTGGTGGAACTGCGATGATCATACTTGGTATGGAAGCAGGTCAGGGCTAGCTTGGAGTGGAGGTGTCCGCTGCGAGATGGGGAGTTTTGATCCTCGTGTTAGAGTTACCATTTTGGGTAACGGTTTTATCTTTACTTGATCGGCACTAGGGAATATTACTTTTGGGATGACTGTACATATATGGAGTTTTATTTTATAACCAAAAACTTAGTTATTTTCATTTTTAATTGTACATGTATGTATGAGTTATCCAACTTAATATTTCTCTTAGATCACTAGTAGTAGTGCGATTCCACTAAGTGTAGAGACCATGGCGGGTCGTTACACTTTTATGGTATCAGAGCCGGTCGAGTCTTTTGGGATACTCTGTGGGGAGTGATCCTTCTAGGTTTCTGTTGTGTCATATCTCTTATATGTGTTAATTTTGGTGAGTTGTAGTGGTAAAGTGTTAGTAAAAGAATGTTTGAATTCTTTTAGTATGATGAAGCCTCAATATGATCAGATCGCTAAAGCCATGGAGATGATGGCCATTGCGATGCAGCAGTAGAGTGCTCACTTTGCTTAGATGGAGGCGGGTAGAGCTATGGATGAGGCAGCTAGACCGGTGGTCTCTCAAGATGGGAGAGATTTAGTAGAGTTCAGGAGATGTTAGCCTCCTCAGTTCAAGGGGGGATTCAGATCCTGATGTGGTAGATTAGTGGTTGTGTGAGATGGAGGAGATCTTCAGTGTTTTGTGATCTTCTGAGGAGAGAAAGTTGGCCTATGTAGTTTACATGCTGGCAGGCGAGGCTGAGTACTGGTGGAGAGGCACCAGTGATGGAATCATGCCTAGGAAGGCAAGAGGTGACATATTGAAGGAGCCAAGAGGAGTTGGCTAGACATGAAGGTTTGGGCCAGTCAGGGCCCAATGGGCCTGATGGGCCTGGGAAGGCCCAAGTTGAACTTTTCATGGGCCATATTTTGTTATAGCTATTTTCATATGTTTTGTATACATCATGTTAGTATAGGTATCATATATTTTGGTCTTGTATTTTGGACCACATAGAGTAGCATTTTAGGTTTTAGGCTTGTTGGGCCTAGTTTTGGGCTTCATGGGCCTTTGGGCTTTTGGTACCCAATATTGGGCTCATTTTCATTCTTGTAATTTTTCCTTTCCATTGTA